TAGAGATTCTTGCAAAAAAATGCAAAAATATTAATATAGAAACAGATATACCATATGCAGAATCTTCTAAAAATGCAGCTAAAAGAAAAGCAAATGAGGACATAAACAAAGAACAACAACAAAAAAAATCAAGTAAATATTTACCATTTATCTGCCTTTATTTTTTTAGGAATATCCACTTAATATATTTTTTTAAATATCTAGAATGTTCTTGTCCAACTTGTAAGGGGACTGATCATTCATGTTCTTCAAGCAACCTTTGTAAATTTCAAAAACATTGTGCATCCAAATCTGTTCAAGAAAAAATCACAAAATACAAACAATGCACATAAAAACTGGACTTGGAAGATTCCTTAAAGATAAAGATCTTGAGCCTGCAATCCAAAGAGCTGTTGAAAGAATGACTCAAATTGTTTTTGAAGGCTCTTGATTGGCTAACCAAACAGCACTTTATCATGTGACCCTTGGTGATCAATTTCCTTTCAACACAAGTGAAGGTGCTTTCAAGTATATGAGGCAATGTTTCCAAGCTGTAACTACATCCCAAAACACCCCTGAAACCACCAATGAACCCATCATAAATAATATTTGAGATACCCTCTATACACAATATTGACCTCAAGGAATGAGTTGGACAAATAAAAAATCATTAGAACAACTTCTCTCCTCTGCTGCATGGCAATATGTTACAAATTGTCAGAACCACATAACAACAAATCTTGATAACTGACTTAAAAGATGGATAAAATATAAATTATTAAGATTCATCAATTTCCTTTACCCAAAAAACACATCAACACCATTATAAACCATTTCATCACTAACTTGAAAAATCAAGATCTCCCTTCCCTCCCTTCAAACATTATTGATAAACTCTTTACATCACATCCACAATACCTAATTTACCTTATTACCCACATTCAATATATTCATTTGAAAGTGCAACAGACATTATTCCAAAATCAAGCTCTTGATGATGTGTCTGTAAAAGTATCCTGGTGGTCATATCTTTCAGGTCTTCATAAAATCCTGCACACCTTTACCAAACATAAAAGGGAATGTGGTCTCCATCTCTTCACACTTCTGCCTGAATACTCTTTCCAACAAAAGTACATATTAGTTGATACTGATGCTTTATATTATATGTACAAATCAATTGAAAAAGCAGGGGTAACAACCATTCAAAGATTCAGAATTGAAAAGGAAATTTGGTGGATGGAAGCATTTAATATTAATAAAGTCACCACCCAAAATCGAATCTTTGCTTACTCCATACAAACCGATGGTCTTGCAGCATCAGTTGGTCTGCAAAAAAAAGTTGATGATGATAAAGAGGATGTTGATGAAGAAGGGTTAAATATTGATTTAAATGGATGCAAAGTATTTGGACTGGATCCTGGAAGAAAAGATCTGTTTACAGTAGTGAGTTTGGATGAAAAAGTTGTGAGCTGTTCCAACAAGGAGTACTGGAACTTAGCAGGGTTTGTTTGTGCTTGTAAAAAATGTGAGTTGTGGTTGGAAAAAAATAAATATCTTCAGGCTGTTATTCAAGGTGAGCTATACTAAGGATACCGGCTGCAACTTTTGATGATGGTTGCTACCATCTTTGCGTCATATAAAAACGATTGCAACCACTGGTTGCAACCACCTTTACAATCATTTTGTTTCCTTTTTTGGATTGCGACATGGAACACTAAGCTATACTTTGTTAATTTAATTTGCTGTTAAACAAGAATATCATTGAATAATATTACTTACATACCTTTTGCCTAATACTAATACAAAATCTAGATATTCCAACCTCTGGTGTCACCAATGTCTATGAATATGGCTCTTACCTTGCTTACATTCTGTTTTATCTTGATATAATTCTTGATTTTTATTGTGAATGTCACTGGCATCAGTTGCAATGGAAATCTTTTTATTAACAAACAGAAGGCCTTTGATATTCTGTGTCAAGAGAATAACAAATAGCAATGGTGACAGTACAGTTGTTGCATTTGGTGATGGTAAATTCTCATCAACATCACATGGGCATGCACCAGGCCCTGTAAAAGAATTTCGCCAGGAGCTTTCTAGACACTGCAGGGTGGTGAACATTGATGAGTTCCGTACTTCCTCAGTCTGTTCTTTGTGTGATGGGTGGTTTGATAAGCATCAAAAATTCTGGTCTGTCAGAGTCTGCAAATCAGTCTGTCTGACACATTGGAATC